CGTCCCTCGGACCGAACCGCTCCCGGCCGCCCGGCGGGGTAGGGGGCCAAGTTTGAAATGGAAAAGCCAGAGGAGAGAGAGAGAGAGGTCGAAATCTAGAGATCGAGATCGGGAGGGCTCGAGAAACAGGCTCACCAGTGGAGCAAGAGACCGAGACAGGACAGGAGCGACTAGCTTTGGACCCGCGGCAGCAGAGATATCCGAAACAGAGAGTAACTTGGGCGTAGAGTCACCCCGGGGGCAGGCCCGAGGCATAGGGACTGTCCCAGGTTTTGTGGAGCGAAGCATTTTAAGAAAAAGCATACAGTGACCCTAGACGTGTTGTGGGCCCTTTCCAGGGCCTTGGAGATTTCTGAGCAGGTTGAGGGGCCCCAAAACTAAGCTTCATTAGCCTCGTGGTAAATCAGACTCTGAGAGGCCTAAAAAGACATCCAGAGACTGGAGACAGAGACACTGAGGGGCAGAGAGATGCTGAGAGATAGAGAAGGGGGGTGGGTAAGGACCAAGGCAGTGCACCCTACAGAGACTCAGAGATACCAAGACTTGGGTGGACAGAGGTGGAAATCCACAGAGGCTCCCATTGGGAGATAGCCAGTCAGAGATACAGAGACAGGGAAACAGAAAGACAGCTGCTGAAGTGTGCAGACACAGACGTGCTGAGCAGAGCAGGGCTAGACGCCGAGAGACAGATGTAATGGAGGCGCAATGACAGCTTCCAAGACAGACCCGGAGCGACTCAGGCCTGAAAAACTGGGAAGCGAGGATGTGGGGAAACAGAAACTCTCGGTCAACTGAGCCCCCCTGAGGCAGAGGACCTGAGACAGTAAGACTCATCAGGAAGGAGCCCCACACATTTACTAAGACAGCCCCAACTTATTTTTAAACTCAAATCTTGGACGCGCTGCTTCAGCCCTGGGGGACCTGGGGTGAATGAACTGTTCCTCTTCTGTCCCCAGAGCAGCTGCTGGATCCTGCTTCCCACCCCCCTTCCCCTAAACTGCTCTGACTCCCAGGCCTCATGGGGGGAAGGGAGGGGGAAAGAGTGGAGAGTTTGGGGTTGATGCCTAGTAGCAGGGTTTGATTTCTCTCCTCAAGCCTCCTGTCAAGTCCTTGGAGCTGGGGGAGGGGTCTGTTCTGATCCTGACTCACAGCTGTGGGACCTGGCCAGGGTCCTCCTGGACGGTGGGGGCTGGGGGTGGGGGGGAAGGGCTCGAGCGATTGGCATAGGGACTTGGAAAGGCTTCTGGGTGTCTTCCAGTCTCAGGGCTGGCAGCTGGGGAGAAGAGCCAGGCTCCTGTGCTAGTGATATCACCCAGCATCTCCTGTCTCTCAGCCCTTAAGTGCTGACCAACCCCTCCACTGCCATTGCAGCAATTTGTAGGGAAAGAGAAATGGGAAAGTGCTCCCGGCTGGGAGGCAGGGGCCCTGGGTTGCCTGATACCTGAGTGACTTTGGGCATGCCTGTGCCTTGTCCCTGGCCTATGTGCTTAGCTATAAAATGGGGACGATACCGTATCCTTCCTGCCTTTTCTGTGATCTGTTAGGTGGCAAGTGAGGGGGAATGTGCTTTGAGAGGCAAAGCAGCACGCAGGTGTGTACACCTTTGTACCCGTGTTGCAGGTTTCGGAGTTATGCTCTCTGGAGTCACACTTGCCCCACTGGTCTCAGTGAGCCCCATGGCCAGGGCCTCTTCAGTTCCCCAGCAGATCTAAGGGGTTCCCTTTTTGTTCCCTCTCTGGGTTCACACTGCGAATGTCAAGGTCAAGTCCCAGGCCAGCCCCTCGACCCAGGCCTGGCTGAGAAACTGTTGTCTGACCCCAATATAAGTGAAGGGCTAATAATAAAAACACTAGAAGCTACCATTTACTGACTGCTTGCCATCTACCTGGTGCTTTCCAAGTATCATCACATTTAAGCCTGGCAACAACCCTAGGGGGTGGGAGGTAGTATTAGATGGGAAAACAGGCTCAGGGAGCTTAGGTGACTTGCCCAGGATCACCCAGGTTTAGATTTCACAGCCTGAGCTTCGACACAACATATGCCACATCATTTAACCACCCATTCAGAGCTGCAGGAGGTGGGTGGGGAGGTCTCAGGTGTGTCTGGATCAGGTGCAGGGGGGTGTGTGTGTTAGGGGCAGTGACTGAGAGCCATCTGGCAGACTGAGCCGTCTCCCCTGCACCACCCCCCACCAGCCATGAAGGAATACAAGACTGGTTCCCTTTAGTCCCCTAGCCCTGCCAGGGCAAGGGGGAGGCGGGGAATGGGCAGAAACAGGTGGGCCTTGGTAGTGCCCTTCACCCTGTCCTCACCAGAGCCCAGGCGGACAGACTAGAGGACTAAGGGATTCTGGGAAAGAAACAGAAGCCACACCCATACCTTATTTGGGGTTCTCCTGTCTCAGAGTGGTGACTGCCTCCCTCCCAGGGGGCGGACCTAGGGCTAGCCTGGGCCTGGGAAGGTGGCAGGGCTACTGGGGGCCCAGCCAGGAAGGAAGGGCCCAGGACACTCCCAGACAGACGGATGCATGGTCACTCTGCACCTGTGTGGCCCCCTGCTGCCCAGTGGCTGACAGCCCAGGCAACCCTCAGATGTGGGGCCAGAGGAAATCCAGGCCGAATGGCAGGGAGCGTACGGAGAAGGAGGGGTGCCCTCACCCTCCAGCATAGCCCCCAGCCCAGAAGTCCCTGCTCTGAAGACCTCAGCTCCTGGTGACCTCATGCCCTGGCCTGGGGTATGAATTGAGCGTCCTTCCATTGTACAGAAGGGCAGCTGTGAGCTTACGATCTGTCCCTTCGAAAGATCCAGGCCCTCCAGGCTTGGGGCGTCTGCTAGCGTCTGGAGTCTGAACTCCAAGCCAGAGCAACGCTCGCTCGTTGGCAATAATTTCCTGCTGGGGGTGGCTGAGAGAAGAGGGCTTTTTCTTCACCTTGAGCCAGGCCAGGCTCTGGGGACTGCCAGTTACTGGGGCCTAGTGGGGAAGAGGGGACTGGGGGGTTCCTTTGTACTCCCCAGACCCCATCTGCAGCGGTGAGAACATCCCTTTCCTATGGTCCTGGTGGTTCTGCTCCACCCACCCCGGGATCCCAGTCCTCAGTGAGTGGGCTTCATGATGGAGGAAGCTGCGGTGGGGAGCTCTAAGTCTGGGGCCAGGGACTGGAATCAGGGGCAGCAGGAGGGACTGGGAACCCCACTTCCCTAACCCTCCCTACTCCCCAAGCTCCTGCTGCAGAGGCAGCTGTGTGGATGACCTCATCCCACAAACATGCTTTGTTCCTGAGAAAATGGAAAGTGTCTGAGGTTTGGTGGGGGGCTGGGTGTCTGCCATAACAGCTCTCAGGGCTCCCCACTTGCCTGACTAACCATGCAAGAGGGGGCATGATTGGAGAGCAGTGTCTTCAGTGGCTCCCACTCTTACCCTTCACTCCTCTGGCCCCAAACCCTTAGAAAAGCTGGGGAGAGGCTGTCTCTCCCAGAGGCAGGGGGAGGGAAATAATGACCCAGGGGATGGAAAGATTCTGGGGCTTTGCCAGTCACTGCCAGGACTGATGCCCGGCAGGAGATGGCAGGAGGCACACTGCATTATCTCCAGTTCTCCTCTTTCTCCCCAAGCATCTCATTTCCCTTTTTCTCCCCTGTTGCTGGCAAAACGTGACATCTGGCCATCTGTGCTGCCACAGCTGCTGCAGATGTTGCAGGCCCAGGCTCCCCAGGCTGGTGTGACCAGAGACTCAGTGGGAGGTGGCAGGGGGTGAGGGCAGAGGGTCCAGCTAGGGAAGCTTGGCTGTGTCCAGCTTGCAGGATTTCCTTCCTGCTTAAACCTAGGTCGAGCCTCTGAAGTTCTTGTTGCTGGATTCTCTTGGGAGGGGAGGCCCTGTGTGATTTCTCCCATCAGCCTCCTCCACCTCCACCATTCATTGGCCCAGCATCCTTCTTACATTCTGCCGTTTCCTGGGTCAGGATGGAGAGTAGGAACAGCTCATGGTCATCCTAAGCTCCCACTCCCGAGCTCTGGGTCTACCCCTAGGATCCCTTCCTAGGAGTCAGGACAGGGTGAGTGTGCTGTTCATATGGGATAGAGTGGGGTCCTGCCCCTGCTCTTGCCCACCTTGGGGACATTAGGGACAGTTGGAGGCTAAACGCAGGGGCAGGAAATGAGTCACTGACCCAGGAAAAGCCCCCTCCTCCCAGTTCTGCCAGGGCCCAGATAAGAAAAGAACTTCTGCTTCCTGATTTGCTTCCTGACCCCCTCTCACCCCCCCAGTGTTAAATACAGAAATAAATATGCAGGACTTGGGTTCCCAGAAGTACCCGCTCCCCATCACAACCTGCTCTGATCTGGCATTTCCTACATCTAGTCTCTTGCTTTTTTTCAATGCCACGGGCTAAGCCACAGCCCCTCTGAGTGACCCCTGCCTCACCTTGTGCCCCTAACAGGGCTCACTCACAGCCACCATGAGCGAGGCCTTTGACTGTGCAAAATGCAGTGAGTCCCTGTATGGGCGCAAATACATCCAGACGGACGACGGTCCCTACTGTGTGCCCTGCTATGACAACACCTTCGCCAACACGTGCGCCGAGTGCCAGCAGCTCATCGGGCATGACTCGAGGGTAAAAGACTGGACCACACAGGCCAGGGAGTGGTGGGTGGAGGAGGCTGGCAGGAGGGGGCCAAGGTGCCAGTGCCCGTGCCCTGCTCCCCGCAGGAGCTGTTCTACGAAGACCGCCACTTCCACGAGGGCTGCTTCCGCTGCTGCCGCTGCCAGCGCTCCCTAGCTGATGAGCCCTTCACTTGCCAGGACAGCGAGCTGCTCTGTAACGACTGCTACTGCAGTGCCTTCTCTTCCCAGTGCTCTGCCTGCGGGGAGACCGTCATGCCTGGTACGTTTCCGGGGGCTCACTGTGTGTGTGGCACTGGCATGCCTGTCTGATCCCTACATGGAGGCTTGGTAAAGACCTGCACACACAGCATGTTCCTGGAAATCGAATGTGTGCAGGATCCGTGGTGCCTGCGTGCTCCTGGGAGCTTGGCACACACAGGAACTGACACGCTCAGGTATACACATGAAAGCTTGGCACGTAGAGACTGACACGCCTGGTACACACCTTGGGGCTTAGCATGTATGAAGACCTGCATGTTTGGCACAGGTAAGCTGAGTGGGCTGAAACGGTCATGCTTGGTGCCTAATGTGCGTGGCAACCTGCACGGCTAACAGAAAGTGAGGATTTAGAACACATGGAGGCTGGCATGATTAGGATATGCCAGGGCTTATTACATACTGCATCTGTCATGTCCAGTGTGTTGGAAATTGGTGTGGGCAGAGACTTGCTTGCCTACTACATGGGCCTTTGTGTGTGTGCTCACACCATCATGTCTGGTGTGTGAGGTCTGAGCATATATGGAGTCATCAGGCCTGTGACCTGGAGGCCTGGTGTGTGCTGAGATAGTTACATCTGGTACCCTATGGGGACTTCCCATCTGCCAAACCCTCAGGTCTAGTTCGTGGGGGCCTAGCACATGCTCAGCCAGCAAGTCTGGTGTTGAGCAGAGGTTAGCATGTGTGATGTTCGTGCCCCTGTAAAAGCCTCGACACCACCCTGTAGGCTGTGCAAGCAGCAGGGACTCTTCCTTCAGTGGGCAGCAGAGGGTGGTGCTCAGAAGCTTGGGACACAGCCTCTGAGTGGGACCCCTGTTCCCCACAGGGTCCCGGAAGCTGGAGTACGGAGGCCAGACGTGGCACGAGCACTGCTTCCTGTGCAGCGGCTGTGAGCAGCCGCTGGGTTCCCGTTCCTTTGTGCCTGACAAGGGTGCCCACTACTGCGTCCCCTGCTATGAGAACAAGTTCGCTCCTCGCTGTGCCCGCTGCAGCAAGGTGGGGGCTGGGCCAGAGGGGCGGGTGCTCAGGGTGGGGGTGAGCAAGGCTCCGTGGTGGTTGTGAGGTAGGAATCCCCACTCCCCCCCTGCTGACAGATGCTGTCCTCGCAGACGCTGACACAGGGTGGCGTGACATACCGTGACCAGCCCTGGCATCGAGAATGCCTGGTCTGCACCGGGTGCCAGACGCCCCTGGCAGGGCAGCAGTTCACCTCCCGCGATGACGATCCCTACTGTGTGGACTGTTTTGGAGAACTCTTTGCACCCAAGTGCAGCAGCTGCAAGCGCCCCATCACAGGTGGGACAAAGGGTCAAAGGACAGAGTGGTAGGGCGTAGTCAAGGGAATGGGGGACCTGGTATTGGGTGAGGCCAAGGGACAGAACCGCCTCCCTCCAGATTGCAGCATTAACCTCCAGCCTTCCTCTAGGACTCGGCGGAGGCAAGTATGTGTCCTTCGAAGACCGCCATTGGCACCACAGCTGCTTCTCCTGTGCCCGCTGCTCCACCTCTCTGGTCGGTCAAGGCTTTGTGCCAGATGGAGACCAAGTGCTGTGCCAGGGCTGCAGCCAGGCAGGGCCCTGAGCCAGGGCTCCAGGGCCCAGGCCCTCCCAAACCAGGGCTCCAGGACTAAGGCTCCTTTTACAAACCACCTCTGGGACCCAGCCCCTCCCCAAATTGGGGCTCCCTCTGGGCTCCAGGATTCAGCTTCCCCACTCCAGCATCCCCAGTCTGGTACTCCCTGACCCAGGGCCCCCAAACCTGGGCTCTTATGGGGCCTCCATCATTCAAATCTCCTCCCCAAGCCTGGACTCCAGAACTCCATCCTCGCCTCTATGGTCTGGGTTCCCAGACTGAGTCCTCTCCCCAAATCAGGGCTCTGGGGCACAAGCCCCCTTCAATCTGGACTTCTCTCCAAAGATTTTAGGTCTCCTGTGGGTACCTGAGAAGTCCTCCACAGTAGACTAAACTCGGGCTTGACTCTCCCCACCCCTGTCCCACCAATGTCCCGAGGGATGGGGCTGTCAGGGCAGCAGATCCAGTGTTCACTGGTTAGAGGGTCCTAGGGTACAGGGTTTTGCCCAGCCCATGTTGTAGAGTGTTTTCTCATTTCATTTCATTTCAGCTCAGTTTTGCCCAGAGATGGGCAGAGGGGTGGGGTTGGCTTACCCCACCTTCAGAGTCTGCAATAAAGCAGTATGAGGAAGTGAAGGCCTCTGTGTGTTTGTGTAGGGGTGGAGGGGCAAGGAAAATTCCTTCACGCACCGGGGGACCGAGGTTCCTACCGGACCTCCTCTGTTTAGAGCTGACAGGCGGGATGGGAAATCTCTCCAGAGAAAGGGGATCCCCGCCGCTGCTACCGTCCCTCTCAGGCTTAGCCTGCTTACCCCCTGTTGGCAAAGGGTTTTTTCCTCTGGGTAGGGAAGAGGAGGGGTTTGAGGGTGGTTCCGGACGGGAGCAGGGGGACGGGTGACGTTGGGTTTCCCCGTCTGGTACCAATCGCCCCCCTCCCTTAACAGCCCATCCCAAATCCCGCAGAGCACCCGGTGCGGATCCCCAGTCTGGGCCCAGACCCTAGCCCCCTTCCCCCTCTTCCCGAGGATTAGCGGAGGCGGCCTGGGATCCGCTCGCGGCCGCACGTTTTTTGCCAAAAAAGGCAAGGATGCAGCTG